TTCCCACAGGAGTTTCATAAAAGAATCCACCTCGGTCTGGACTTAATGGGTCGGTGGGAAGCAGTGGCACAGCTATATTTTTATACAAGGGGTGGCCAGAGGGTGGGCAAGGATTTATGAAGGGGTCCATACACTAATAAAGGAAATTATTGTGTTACTCTGGTCCCAAATGAACCCACTTGGTCCTTTTGGTGCACTTTAAAAAAAGTCTTCATTGTTATCCGTCCCTGTACAAAATAAGACAGCCTGGTTCGTCTCGAGATTGTGTTAGGCAGACTCTTGAACTATGTGTTTTTCCTTTCTCATGCTGTAGCTTACATTAAAATCAACTACTAGCTGAGTAAAACTGGATCATCTAGGCTAGTCGGCACTAAGTAACTGGTTTCAGACCTTCACAATAGCAAATGTAGACATAGAGATAATATCCATAATATATGTCACTGAGTCTGGTATAATGTTTATAATAAATGATGGAAAATGGTTGGGAACCACTGCATTAGCTTTATCATCTGACGCCAACTGAGGACAGTTTAACCGGTAGGCTAAATCAGCTATCGTTAGCTGCACAAGCTAACGGCATCTAATGTTACACTTGTTACAACGGCATCAAACCCATCTGGAAACTCTGTAAATCACCTCGGTACCGCTGAGGTTGTGTTCACTGGATGCTGTTCAGTTGCACGCTAACGGCAGCTACATTAGCAGAGTTGAGTCAGAGCAGCTGGAGGACGTCAGAGGGAAAACCAGACAATAATCTCTCCATTAAATATGATCCAGTTTCACCCAAATCACTGATAAAGTTGTGTTTGTACAATAAACAGTGAGGTCTCCAGAAACCCTCCGTTAGCTAGCGATGCTATTGCTACCTAGATAATGAATCTTCACTCTGTGTCGGTAAAACTGAAGCTTGATTGAGGGGTTACTGTCATATTAATGGTTGAAATTGTGTAGTTTATGTTAACATAAGCATGCCTCACATTTTGTTTTACAAGAAGACAAAATTATCAGATTTTGATATAAAAATACAAAAGGAATTTTGTTTTTGTTCATTTCTTGGCACACACTGTTAAATAGAGAAAATTAAATGTTTGATTCTACCGTTATCTGTAAAAGTGATGTCCCTTTTTTTTGTATTTTAAAGTACTATTTAATGTATTTATATGTTTCTTTTCACCATTTTTCCATTGTCCGATGTTGACATCTAGAAGTAGGTCTAACCAAGTAGTTTTGTTCAAACCATGAATACAACTAACACAAAAGACGTGGATCCAGCCGTCCCAATGTCCACAATGGAGACCCTTCGCCCACTTGTCCAGATGTTCCCGGACAGACTGACATCATTACAGTGGACCGAGCTGGAATCCGGATCCCTTATCAGGGAAACGGAGAATATAATCACGGAAACGTGTGTTAACACTATATCTATACACATGTATGAGGCTTTTTAAACAAAGCCTACAACGGAGGGGTGACTTGCGTTCCACACACATTCGTACAACACCTTCTATCGTATCAGAAGACCAAATCCACGAGTGTCTGGGTGACGGAGAGGATCAACTCTGAACTCTGCCGAAGGTTGTAGAGGTAGTAACGACGGGACCGAACCACCGGTCTCCCAATCTGTCACCTGGAAAGTGAAGGGAATCGTCCACCATGTGGTGAAAAATTCGCCACTCTACAAAAGAATGGTGGCAAACTTTACCAGCAGCTGTCAGAAAATGATTGAGCAGCCGTCAAAAACTTAACTGTTAAACTTTATCTTTAAGTATTGATATTTAAAAACGTTTCTTTTACTGGGCTTGAAATCTCAAACATTAATTTTCAGCTTTATTTATAATAAAATGCTGTGTATTCAGTTATTTATTTGTTTGTGAAGTTGAAGTTGAACGAAAATGCAAAGGTACTCTAAAGGTTTCTTTAAAAATATTTAACTACAATTAATGTCACAAAAGAAGTGTTACAGTATTGAACAACAGGTTAAATAAAATATAAACGCTTCTGTATCTGGATAGATGACTCACATTCAAAAATCATATATGACGACAGAAACAGAAACGTATCTATATTTTGTTGGTAAAAGGCACGTTGAAGCTGTTTCTCTCTCCGGATAATAAAGATGTGATTAATAGGCTTATTTATGTGACTAATTGGACAGTTACCAGCCTTTATCTCTTGTATTGGTCTTCTGGACCTGATCAAACACGATGTAATGACAGCAAGTTCCTCCAGTTCGTACCAAACTATGAAGATCTGCCTTTTAGTTTTTTATTATCCTACAAAACACCCTGAGGATCAATACTCTTGTAACCCTTATTGGTGTATTTTTTTTAATATCTTGTGTATTTTTTATTTTATATTTATCATGTCAAAATGTTCAGGGCATTACTGTAAATGAGGGCCAGGCCTCAATGATTTTCAAGTTTAAATGAACACACATAAATTAATTGTTTACTCGTCACATTCCTCCCCAATAAAAAAAATGTCATGAACAACAATCTCTAATTTACGGTACAATATGGATTACAGAAATACTCACCTCATAACTGCAATATGAAACATCTATACATTAAAAAACTTATTAGCAATGTCTTTCTTGTCAAAGTTAGAGAAAAGTGAACTGCTGACAGTTATTGAGTCATTTCTGAAATTAATTAATTAAATTAATTACATGTTGAATATTACCAGTGGTTCCCAACCGAGGGGGTCGCCAAAGCTTCAGAGAGCGTCGCAAGGGCTAAACTAAAAAAATACCCACATTAGGCCGATATCTCAGCATCTCGTTCACTTCTGTGAAGAAAAGTAAATTATCTATAGAACAATAATCAAGTGTCGAGGACAAGAAAACACTGAATTTGTCCAAAAAAAGCCTATTAAGTCTGTATGATTGTTAAAGATGATTAAAAAAATAAATGAAATACAGACAGAGAATTGTACATAAAGTTCCCTAAACAGGAAATAATCTGCTCAAAATTCATCCAAATCACTTGTTTTACACAAACTTCTTGCAGTAACTGAGTTCACTATTTGGGTTAATTGAAAAGTTTTTAATATAATATGAAATATTCATAAAATATGTCACTTAATCAGTTTAATAAATGATAGAAAAAGGTTGGGAACCAGTGGATTAAACCACCAAGTAAGTAATTCTTAGAGTATTTCTTGGTCTTTTTATATTTTGAAGATACCCATAATAAGAAAGTAAGGTAGGACAAGGATTACTTTTAAATAATTTTATAAAAAAAAGTAAAAAATAACTCAATCTCAACTCTCACAACTCAAGGGACACAAACACAAAACAAACGTTTACAACAAACATGAAATCAACAAGTTTTTTTCTTTCCTTCTTCATAAGTTTCTTTTTCTCCTTTAAACTTGAAAACACATCAGTGACCGATTTCACACCGGTGGTCTGTTGTGTGTTAGGCCACTCTTCAACATGCTCTTAGATTAGTTTAATGGAAATTAGAGTCCGCTTCACAGAAACGCCCTGAAAGGACCAGTTTGAAATAATTGTTTAACAGTACAAGTTTAAAAAAAATAAAATAAAAATGATTCAGGGCGTCTGTAAAACTCTGGTATAACATGGTTAACACTCTTTGCTGAATTTGCTGCTGTTTGGTGCAGCTGCTCCTTCACACGTTTTTCAGTTTAAAGCCTTAATTTACCCATAATTCAAAGCAGGATTAGTCCGTTAATATAGAATGTCTACCTGAAGTCTGTTAGTTTGATCTGAGCCCCAGTTTAGAGTCCGTCTTTGTGAAACGAGCCCCCTGAACTGAACTAACAGCTGCCTTGGAGACCTGCTGCAGACATTTTCTCATTGCAGCACCAAACAGGGAAAATCCTGAAAGCTGGTGGTAAAAAAAACATTCAATCTTCATCATGATTTTGCCAAAACGTGCAGATGACTATATGAAAAAGGTTTAAGGTTTAAGGTGCACGTTTAATGTTGTTCCTCAGAATTTTTGGTTCCACTTTACTTGCACAGTCCGCCTACAGATTAGAGTATATGTAAATAAAAAAACATCTTGATTCGACTGTTAATGAACGTCTATAAAGACAAATCATATATTATAACTATCTGTAGGACTTATCCAAATAATGCAATGCAGTTTGGCACCTAAATTAACTGGACTTCATCATTGTGAGTCCTCCTCATCAGGTATAAACGTTGAGTCATCTGCAGTCTGTTGGTCCACGCCTCGTCGGTATTCCCTCTGAAGCTCTTCAACAGTGAGGGTTCGAACAAGCATGGCCTCCATTGTGGCGCTGTCCAGAGGCGTGGAAGAGAACCACAGAGGGCTGTTGGGAACGCAAGAGCGATCCGGTTGAAGGTAGAACAAGTCGGTGCGCTGCTTTACCAACTCCGAGCTGGAGGGAAGGAGAGAAAACAGAAAATAAAGAAGAAAAAATATTATCTTCCAGGAGTTTTAAGTGACTTGCACAAACGGTCGTATAAAGTTAAATTTTAGACAAATTGACATTCATTTCTCCACAGCCCATCAGGTGCAGTAACAGTTTTACAGAACATTCATCTTCTAGAAAGTGATCGTTGCACGTACAATTAAGATCACTGTGCATGTATTTATCAACCATGCAGGGAGATGTAAGAATTTTGCTGGCAGAAATTAGACCAAACATCTGTTAACCAGCTTTAAAGGTGTACTCCAAACAGTCGAGTTTCAAACAAAATACACACCCATGTTTATGTAATCTGAGTGAGGGGCTAAAAACAAGATATTCCAGGACAACATAGATTATTTCCAGAATATTTGGTCATTTTAATCAATTTCCAGGTGTTTCCAAAATGAGTAGAAATCAGGAGCCGTAAACTGTTGTGCAGTAAAACTGTCTGAAGATAAAAGAGAAATTCAGCTTGTTCACTCTGACTGCCTGAGTAATATAAAAGTTCATCAGTAAGTTACAGTATATTGTGTGTTGTGTACTTAATGTGTTTATTGATTTCCTGGATGAACTCAGTTTGCTGTAATACAACTTTGACACTGATAATGTCCACAAAGTATTAATCTTAAAGCATAACATCATGGAGAGAAAAATAAAAAATAAATAAAAAGTCAAAGAAAAGAAAGAAATTAAAGCTACAAACCACTTAGAGAGGTAGAACTCGTAGAGTCTGACTGGACAGCGGAGAGGATTCTCTGTGTTCTCCATCATCTCCAGGATATCCTCTTTACTCTCATGTTTCTTACGCTTCTTAGCCGGGACGCCGTCTGCATCTGACACACACACACACACACAAACAAACGTGACAGAGATTTTTACACACTCTAAGAAGACGTTTAATGTATTTTTCTACCTTAAATCGACATTATTACAGTAAAATCAGGCGTCAGCTTTATTGGTACCTGACTCTGCGTCGTTTTTGGATATTGGACGGTAGAACCGCAGGAAGGCGGTCTTGGTGCCGTCCGGGTTGGTTTTGGTGCACTGTGTGACGTGGGCGAAGGACAGCTGGCGGTGCTGCTCCACCGCGGTGAAGGCGAAGAACTTTGCACGCAGAAGAAGAGCAGAGTGTTGAGGAGGACGATGGGGGAGTACGCCCCCAACTGTTTACAGTCCCACAGAAACTCCTCCTCCACACGGGAATGGATATAACCTACAGAGAGAGGCACCGGTTATAAATCTGATCGATCTGAGTGTTGATTGGAGACAGAAAGAAAAAGTGACTCACCGCTGGCTGTGGCGGAGGGTTTGAAAGCTTTCAGGATCTTGGTGAACCGAGTGGAGAACCTGCTGTAGATCAGGTCACTGAATATGTTCTCCATACGGCCGTTATCAAACAGGTACTACAGAGAAACAACAAAACAACAGTCAGAGTAAACACCAAGAACTGTGTGAAGAAGGTCATTAATGTATGAATTCTTTAGCAGAGGGAGATGAAATTAAGAAAAAACTACAACTCAAAGTTGCATTTACTGTTTTTTAATGTTAATATTTAGTTTCTTCCATCAACTGACTGCTGCATAATGTTGTAAACAAAAAAATAACAGAAAAGATGAATTCATAATTTATAAAAAAAAGTTAACTTAGGATCAGAAACAACATCACACCTCAATAAGACCTCTAATTACTTGTCAAGCAGCCTACTTTAAACCTCGTCAAAGCCACAATACGTTGTTTTGATTCTGGGTGTTTCCTGTGGACAAAAAGTATCTGTGTTTTCCACCTCAAATGTGTCCATTGAATTCAAAGGCGAAATTCAACCAAATCAGACGCGTTTCGTCGCTTCCTGACAAGAATAAATAGGAAATAGCCAAATTTCTTGCTTATGTAGGTCATATAGGTAATTAATTAAGTTCATAACCAGTTTAAACCACTCCTTTAGTATGTTGAACCCACTGTATCCCAGTTTCCTGCATATCAATACACTGATAGTGTCTATTACTCTTTATAAAATACTGTTAAAACATCCAGTTGGACTTATTAGCAAGTACACGTGCATGTATGTTACTATGAAGTGGAGTCATCTCACCTGTTGTATGCTGAGACAGAGGTAGAACAGGTAGTCTGGGGAGTACGGCTCTCCATCAGGTCCTTTCACCTCAGCAATGAAACGACAGAGGCCGTCGCTCAGCTTGGTCGCAGAGCAGCGAAGAACATCCTCGCTGAACGTCGCAGTGCGAGCTGATGGAGAGAGTGTTAGAGGATGTCAGCCATTTTCTATTTCTTTCACACAGCAGTGAAAGCCCGATGTCATCTGATTCCTCATGTTAAATCAAAGCTGCAACGGACTCATTTCTATTATTGACTTATCTGTTATATTAATCTTATAATTTGATCGATTATATTTTACATTTTTATAGCCTTTATTGGACGGATAAAATGTGAGGTCGTCCCAGAGATAAAAATAAAGTCAACAAATTGCTTGTTTTGTCTTCACACATGAGCTAGAGTCATGAATGATTTGTTTTTCCTTAATACATGTTAATTAACTGAATATTAAAATAATTGAGTTGCTAGATTACTCGTTCCACCACTAAATATAAGATTTTAAAATATGATTGTAGGATTTAGTGGCATCTGGTGGTGTAAGTTGCAGATTCACGCTCCCTCGTTTCACCCTTCCCTACATTGGTTCATATTAATGTGTTAATAGAGAATCATCTCATATCAGTTGCAAACACCTGAATCAAATCAAAATCAGGCTTTGTGATATTAGCAAATACTGTACCATTGTCCAGAGAATCAATATAAGTATTGTGATGAAACTGTTGACACACAGTATTTATGAATTACAACAATGACAAAGCTAAAATATAAGAAAAAGTGGCACAATTAAGTAAATTAAAACCGTATCACAAGACAAACAGCATCAATTCATTACATGTACTGACATTTTTTCACTGTATTATCATTTTTATTATCAAATACTGAAAAGAGTTTTACAAATTGCCCAACATCGGTTTAAAGCTGCATTTGTTAAGTGTTCTAGTTGTTAAAAACCAAGACTACTGAAAATCAAACTGTAAAAAAAGAATAAAGACAGAATAACATACATGAAACGAGGTCCAGGTCGGTATGTGATTCCCTCCACTGTATCCATCTCTTCCAGGCGTCAATCCCACACTGACTCTTCAGCTCCTGGTGCTTTCTAGACGTGGTCTTGGAAAAGTCTCTCTGAGATGTCTCCTTATCAGCTGCCTTGGAGCCCTGCTGCAGCCTACAACCCTTGGTTAGAAAAGACAAAGATTACACCACAGAAAGATGAAACCAAACTCACTTCCCAGGTGATTTGTTACCTTATTCTTGTTGTGGACTTTCCCCACAGTTTGTTGTAATAGTTGAGGGACCTGTGCAGGACTCGGTGAGCTCTCGGGATCCTCTCTCATCTCCAGAGGAGGTTGAAGTTCACTCGTCATGCCCACGTCTTTTTCTTGCGTGTGTGTTCGACTGGGCAACCCGAAGATGGTGTCAGACAAGAAGTCCTCCAGGTTGTTGAAAGTGGCCTCACGATCTACATCGAAGCTATCACTACTGTGCTCTGGAAATAATGAAGATAAGTTTGAATCAGTTTGAAGCTGCAGAGTTTATATGTTTATCTAGATCACGAGGAATTGTCACATTCACCTAAAAGTTTTAACATCTTTTTTACCTTTATTTAACCCTGCTCTGCGGCATCTAAATCTAAATTTTAATTTCAACAAAGTCCTGGTCACAATGATGTTACAGAAACTAACAATATTACAAATAGATGAGAAAACTGAATACTTTTAGTTCACAGGACTCTGTAAGTGGGTCCACTGTGGGTTAGAACAAGAACAAAAACCCTTTATCTATTTTATTTTTAGCAGTCATCTCACAGAGCAAATCTGTATTGGAAACTGTTAAAAACACGCTGTATATTTAGGTGTAGATGAAGAAGAAACCACCACATTCATTTGAGCAGAGAAGCGCTCAATGGCAACCAATATAGAGTAAATAAAGATCAACAGTTTCCATAATCAGCTCTCCTGATGCAGCCGTTAACAGTATCATCACTTCACTTCACAATCATCAAGTGTCTCACCCTGTGGAGTGTGAATTTCCTCTTTTGTCTCGTCGTTCTCATCTTGCGTTTCCTTTATCTCAGACTTGAAGTTGAACTCTTCACCGAAGGAGACGGGCTGGATACTCTCCTTCACGGGTTCCACTGTTTGGTCAGGGTCGTCCAGTGTCGCAGGGAGAAACACGGGAACAGGAAGCTGCGGCAGGGACAGTTTGTGAAAGTCTGTAAAATCTGTGATAGTGGCACCTGGAGGCTGTGCTGCTTAATCCCAACCAGACCAACCTGCATTGGTGGTTTAATATTTAATGGATAAAGTGACAGGAACCAAAGGGGGGTGGACTGACTGAATTACTTGTGGCAGAGATTCCTGGCTGGACGCCTGATATTTTATCTCTTTAAAACAAAGATTTTGTGTTTTTAAAAAAAAAGGTGTTCCATAATACCGGTAAGGGAAGGCCCACAGGCTTTGGTGTGTACTGGCTGTACATGCCCATAGGCACAGGAAGGTATACCGGCACCGGGAGAGGCAGGACTACCACTTTGGGTTCGAAGTTGTCTGCACACAACAGAAAAAAGACAACAACATCAAAGATTTTAATTCTGATCAGATGATCACCGAGCATTTAAAAAGAGTCCTGGAAGTTTTTTTTTTTTTTACCAGTCTGTGCTTCTGCGTCGACAGTCTGTGTTGTACAGGAGACGCCTTTGTTATGGACCAACGGTGTGCAGAGCATGGACTTGTTCTTCAGTTCCTTGGGGACTGTTTGAACACTGGCCTGAAGACAGACAGACAAATAATGATAATACTGCATGGCCTCTTATGGATAACTATGTGGAGGATGAGGAGTAAACTTACATGTCCAACCACCTTCGTCTGAATGTCACAGACAGACACTGTGGAGAAATCTGAGTCAGTATATGAAGCATCTTAATTTCCTACAATTAATAGTTATTTAAGTGAGTAATTCCCACAGGAGGACGTTCTGGGTAATTAACATAATGTCTGTGTGAGTGTGTACCGTGCTGTGCAGAGCTAGCAGAGGCATCGGGTTGCCTAGCCAAAGCGCCAGCAAGCGAGATGACGTTAGCGATGACGGGGGAGGACTCCACTGTGCCTGCAGATTTGGGAGGTGAAGAGACTGTTTCTGGGAAACAAAGAGGGGCTGTTAGTAATTGAGCTCATAATATAAAAAAGTAAATAACAAAAGTCAGACTAGAGGTCCTTGGGAAGCACCGATCTCTTAAAAACCTAACAACTGGACTCAAAGCAGATCTTGGGTCCACCTCAGGTCTGGATCACATCTAACTTTAACTGCTGAAGGTCTGTGTAAAAACCCACTGACCAAAGAGCCAATATGTAATGTTTCTACCTCAAAACAACAGCTTCACTATCATTTGTGATGCTGCACTGAGTTTTCATGGGGTGAATGCTGCCTCTGTCATTCTCTGCTGCAGTTTCAGTGAAGCAGAGCGGTGGTCTAGGTGAGGGGGGAATTGCTGGTGTTGTGCCAGAACAACAATAACAACAATAACACACACCTTTATTGACCATCTGGACCTTTTTGTTGCAGAAATGTAGAAGACATTTGAGGTCACAGAAGTGTTTGACCTCTCCCAGCATGGGAAGACTCTGCCTCAGTTTCCCTTCGCGACCGCAGGTGTCACACTTGGCAAGCTGAGAGAAAACAGAAGAGAGCAAGATTTTTTTTCATTATCTGTCCATCTGCTGATTATTGTGAACTCAAGGATGTAAGAAGGCTGAGAAAACCAGCAAATGTTCACGTTTAAGAAGATGAAAGCTGTTCATTTTTATAATATTTTGCTTTAAAAATTTAATAAAGATAAAAATAACAACACGAGTCAAATGCGAACATTCAAACAGACAGAATCCATCCAAAAACAGATATATAGAGCTCCTAGAAAAACTCTAAATAGTGCAAGAAAGCTAAAAGAATACAATCCTTGGAGGACTGTGTAACAATCAATAAGTGGAATAATTTGTAATACTTTAATTTTACAGAAGGATTTACAAGATCCAATCTGAACAATACATTATCCACCTACAGTTTAAATACTACATTATCTACAATAGGCAGGTAATCTGTGCAATGGCTGAACTTCCCCCGTCTACTTACATGGCAGAAGAGCATGTTGTAATTTGAGTTGCATTCTTCAGAGCAGAACTCTTCTTCAGCGCCTTTATACTGAGCTGTCACCACCGTCTTAGAGGTGGAGAGGCAGTAAGCACACAAGTGACAGTATTTTCCCCATTTCTCTTCCAGCTCATGGCAAAAGAGCATTATGCAGCCTGGGAGGAAAGAAAGAAGGAGGAGTTTTTAATCCTGCTTTTATTTATGTATTTATGTCCGTCTGTGTGTGTCTTCTTACCGTCGCTGCAGAAGTAGCAGTCTTTGTCGTTGACCCTTTTGACGTCTCTGATGATCCTTTCATTCTTGCAATATTCACACTTGCCCATGATGTTGTTGACCCTCTTAAACTCTTGAGAACAGGCCTGACTACACACAAAGTTCATTTTGCCCTGTAGACAAAAGACACACGGTCAATCTTATATTCACAAATACGTCCAAGTGTATGTTGCCGTTTCTAACCTATCACAGTGAGAGCTTTAACAACTGGTACGGTTCAACGCTGTCAATGTTAGATTCACTGGTTTCAGTTGGATTTTTAAGATTCACTCGATGGCACTTCCACAATAGTAGGGAAACAAAAAGTACAGACCTTCCCTGTTAGTTTAAAAATCTGCTTCTTTAAATGTTACTATCAAAACCTGGTAGCTTCATGCTTGAGTTGTCCTATCTTAAAAAAACAGACCCAACAAACCTTTTTCTGGACAACTTTCGGTGTCGTTTTTAAAATGCGTCGACACTGTGCACATGGTAGTTTCTCCGGTGGTTTGAGGAAATCACATTGGGTTTGGTCGGAGGCTGTTGTTGGGCTGGTGGCAGCGTTCTGCGTCTCATGTAACACAAAAGATAAAAAGGTTTTAAACTTTCAAATATGGTATCTGTATCGAGTACGACAAAGTAAACTAAAATCTACAACAGAGAAACATGGCAGCCAGTACAACAGTATGGATGGTCTTTGGGCAACAGTAGAAACATGGCATTTCAACATGGCAGACTCCATGAAAGGCTTCAAATACAGATCTCAAATATATAATTTCACTACCTGACTGCAGCTATTTTTACCATTACCGATTTATTAATCATAGAATAGAGCTTTGAACACTGTATGAGCTGTATTACCTTAAAAGCCATGGCACAGGTTAAAGTACAAAAGTTTCTGATGGAGGCATCCGACATGGCGAGGTGGCAGGCTGGCAGTGTAGTTTTACCACAGTTGTCACAATTCAACGGAATGCCTGTTGAGAAAAAGAGGTTTTATGATTATTATCTTTAGTTTCAATGGTGCATTATTGACAGACAGAGAAGGATAAAGAGCAGTTGTATTGTCAGTCCAGTACCTGACGCACTGACAGCCTGGATCTTTGCCGCCATCACACAACTGTTGGTACAGAAGAGCTCTACCACGTCCTTGCTGTTTTTGTTTTCAACCATATCCGACATTAAATGGGGCGTGGAGCACATGGCACACGGCTGCGGCGCTTTGATTTTCTGAAAAGTTGTAAAAACAGCAGCATTTTTACAGCGTTTAGGGCTGAAAGAAACAGGGGGAGATTAAACTAAAGCAGTGAAGAATATATGAATGATTTTACAAAGACAATATACTTTATTACCCATTTTTTTTAGTGGAACCATTGGATGCATCATGAATAGAGGGTGTTGCATATGATACGCCCACTTCCCAAAGAAAAGCTGATATTTTTTGGTTCCAACTGGACTCTTTAAGTTGTCAGGTTTCGACCCCGATTTATTTTTGGCCAAAATGCTCCAAACGGTTCAAAACTAGGTCCTTGAACCAGAAGGGAGCCGGTTCATGAGCCCTTTAGCTCGCAGATTAGTTCTATTGAACTGGAAACACAACAACTCAAACTGGAAACACTCAGATTCATCTTGTGAGGTACCTCTGAGAAATTCCATAAAAACTTGGCAACCTTTCACTATGTAGAGACCAGGCAATAAATATGCTCTCAACTACAATAACTAGGCTTTTATGGGGGATTGTCAATTACGATGTAAAGCAGCTTTGAACCTAGGTGAATGTCTACACTGTATATGTACTGTACTGTATCTTTATTGTTTTTTTATCTGTGTAATATTTTATATAATTTGTATACAAAATAACTGAAATGCCAATAAACAGCACTAAAAAACTAAGTAATAATAATTGTTTCATTTCCATTAAAAATAACTGAACTAGACATTCCTACCAGCCTTTAAAATTACTTGCATAGCTTTGCAAAAAAGATCTTCTTAAAACATATTTGTTGATATTTGACATGATCGTATTACCTGTTTGAACTGGACCAGACACTCTGCACTGCACAGTTTTATGCTGCCATTTTCCATCTTGAGCACGACAGGCGTGTTGCAGTTGGAGCGACAGTTCTCACAGACAGACAGGTTGTTCATGTTGCAGAAGCGGAAAAAACAGGGATCACTGCAAATCTTGTGGACGACGTCCTGCTGTAGGATCTCGTGTTTGATCTGCAAGAGGATAAACAAACATCTTCAGTTCATATAAACGTGGATAACAAAAGGGCTGTGAGCTGAAATATTTATATCTGAGATCGCTCTTATAACAGGCAGTGTCTTCATTATTACAATAAATAAAAATAGACAAAATAGAGTTTTCTTTGTCTCTTACAACACAATATCTGCTGCACATGCTGCATTGTGACTGTGACGCGACTGGCACGATGGATATTCTGGTGGACATGATTTTCTTGTAGTTGAAAGAGGACAAGCAGGTCTGGCTGCAGAAATCCTTCATCGTCTCCTCATTATCCACCGGGGCCTGGAGGACATCCTTAGGCTGCGTTATCGCCCTGAGAGAACAAAGGAAGGAAAGTGTGTTGATACAGCTGAGGGGAGTGTAGCTGAAATATATTTAAATATCAGTCATTTAAACCACTATGTGACTCACTGGAGGCAGAAGTGGCAGGTCTTCTTAGCTTGTTTCGTTTGGTAGAATTTCAAAAGGCAAGGAGTGGAGCAGAAGATGTTCGAGTGGGCTTTCCTCTGATAAACAGTCTCTCCGTCCATCAGGACCTTTTTGCAGTTGGAGCAAGACGCAGGCAAATCCCTGTGGGTGAGAGTGGGCGCCGTGGACGCGGAGTCTCCCGTCAACGAGAAGACTGAACCAATCTTCAAGTCCTCCTGTCAAAAACAGAAAGACGACGCACAATGATGTCAGTGGACTATAGCAACATCTCCTACGATACTATTCATATTAATATTAAATCATTGTTTAAAGCAGAATATTGGAAATAATGCAATAACTTTATGTATTTATCATTTATTTATTAATACCCAAATAAATGTATCAATCAGAGTTTTCTGTTTTTTTTAAAGAACATGTGTAATAATGTCTTTATTATTATTATCATGATCTATAATTTATTAATCTACTTATTTTCTTAAATATAATATTGATTGACCTTTTAGGTTGTTGGGCCTGATGTTCTGGTTATATGGGTTTGACACACATTTCTAGAATATTTAAATGAATAATTACTTAATAAATAGTTAAATTAAATACTTAAATGCAGCAAAATGTAGTTTTTGGAACCCAATTAAAAACAGAAATGGCTTTATAAGTATGAATATTTGCTTTGACTAACTACAACAAAAATACTGTTTACATATTAATACATACAAGTACAGAACCCTTACAAACTTTTAATTACATAAAGGAAACATTTTCAATGCTGAACCTTTAATGTAATGAATGTTTTCTCTCTGTCTTATGTGACATATACATAAATGTATGTTCATGTGTCGTACCTTTTTTATCACATTAGGCTCGTCCTTGATGTCCTCTGTGGATATGGAGGGTGAGACACTCGGTTTGTACTCTTCATCAATGGGCTCTTGTTTTATCTTGAGAGGTGAAGAGAGAGTGACAGATGAGCCGTGTAACATTTACAAGAGAAGACAACACTTCACAGGCGGCACAGACTGTGAAAATCTGATGTTTTCACATCACATATGAGGAAGAAAGGCATTAAAAGGTGAGGTAAAAAAAAGAGACTCATGTAAGCTGAAAACTAAACTAAAGAGGGGAAACAGAAAAGAATATATTGAGTAGTTGTTTAATTTTATTTCTTACTAAAAGGCTACATGCCTGATGTTTTTAGTAATGTTCAAATGTTTATAATAGAGGAGTGTATGTTGAAGTACCGTAAAAGTAAAATAATAGCCGGGGGGTTTATTTCCTTAAATCACTGAATCCATCCGGCCTTTATTGGGGACAGGTGTTTAATTCCTTTAGCACGAAACTCTTGCTCAGCAAAGATGAAAATACTGTCAAATTGTGCTGCTTCTCCTGAGTTTTGTTGACAACTAACAGCTTGAAATTCAGATTGTACTTTTTTCGGCCATGACACTCTTTTTACAGCAGGAAGAACTTCTATAAAATCCAGACCAGGCCTCTAATTGAGACCTGGGTTTATTTTTCAAAACGTGTAGCCACACCAGGCTAGCAAAGAAGACCTGCGTCTATTTGGGACCCTGCTTTTTTAGTTTTACGGTACATCAGATTTATTGCTTGTGGACTCCCACTGTGATTGGTATCGACTACTAAACTTCTGGTATGGTGACGTCCCTAATAGACACACTGCAACTCCAGAAAATAAATACTCTCCACCAAACTGGTCATCTTGCTAAACTTTGCATCACATCCAAATGTACAAACCATCTCCATGCTGTGTCTGGTCAAGTCATGCCCTGAATCAATGTATTAGCATTATTACGAAAGACAGTATAAATAATACTCACACAGTCCAGATTCAGTAGCGACGGCTTCACTTCTTTAATGTCATTCTTATCAAATGACGGGCTGTTCCTTCCTATAAAGATAGAAGATGGTAAAAAGGAGATAAATTCTGGTCTGCATAAAGATATTTTCCATAGCTGGAGACTCATTTTCAGGACTAGTATAGATGGGACAAACTGTGAATGCTAATAGATATTAGATATGCACAGATTAGCTCTAAAGGCCATTACACACCAAGTCTATTTTTCATCTGAAATTTAAAAATAAATACGATCTTATGTTCTCCAAAACTTTCATCCATCATTAAAGTTTTCAGAACAGGTTATATTTTTGTTTCAGCACACAGAGAGAAAGACTGGCAGCTCAGCTTGTTGTCATTATCCATAGAAGGAGTTTCTGGTTTTAGTGATAGTCTCTGAAGAATATTACTATTATATTATTATGCATATTACAATGCAGACAAATGCAACCTATTCTTTGTCTTGTGTTTATAAACTGCCGTCAAAGATCATATATTGTTCTATAATTTGGTGCAAAAAGTACTTGAACAACACAAATAAAGGTAGTGAAGATGTGACAGAAGAGAAGAAATACTGTTTTTAAAATAAAAATGACTGAAGTACCTGAAACCGTAGAAGATTGAGCTTTGTGTACCATCATACATCTGTTGCTACAGAAGAAGTCCAGCCAGCCCTCATCATTTTTACTTTCAACCATGTCTGAGATCTGATGGGACGTCTGGCACATCGGGCACAGCTGAGGCGTCTCAATCTTCTGCAGGAAAAAAACAGTAGAGAAACAATTTGTTGATCAACATCAACACCAACATGATATTTGATTTAGAAATTTTGCTCATCAGGCAGGTTCAGACAGTGAGACTTCAAATGGTGTTTGAACCTGTTAACTTTCAATGTTAAACAAACCAATTCACTTCTGTTGCAGTGCTGCTCTTTGAATCACTCAAAAGGGAAACTGTTTGTATAAGTTGTCTAATGTCTTAAGTTTCCTCTTAACACCAAAATAATTATTTAAAACATAGAAGTGTCTGTTTTTCTGTGCGTTTTAATATCCAAATATCCACATGACAACCTGCTGCTTGTTGCACGAAGGTAATAAAATAAATAAAAACTTTGTATTTATAGTGTATTAATACTCAGTAATAATATATCATCTTCAGTACTGTATAATAACCAGATTATTCAGTGTTAATGTGGAGGTTATCCCGACACCAGTTCCTTAATATTTACTGTCCCGCTCAGATGAAGTGACCGTTATTGGGATGATTTCTGCACCTGTTTGAGTTTGACCAAACATTCTTCACTGCAGATGGTTTTACTGCCGTCGTCCATCTTCAGCGTGAGCCGACTGTCGGAGCAGATGGAGCCACAGACCTCACAGGTAAACCCAGGCAGGTCGTTGACTTTGTTGTAGTTGATGGAGCAGGCGGACTGAGGCAGTCGTTGCATCGAGCCATCCGGGTTTAGCTTGAATTTGCACTGAGGATGACAAAGGAGCACGTTTATGTTACTGCAAAATAAATACTGTTTTATCTATTTAATACCATGTATTAACAACAGATGGCGTCAGACACCACAACAGTTAGACATATGTAAATGAACACCTGTAGACTATAGAAAGGATATGTGGATGTTTGTGTATGTGATTATATGAGCCTCACTGTTGAACTGGGTGACATGTTTTGCTCTTTATAACTCTAAACTGTATTTTGAGTCACTGTCGCTAGTTGAAATGACTTAAAATAGTTCCCAATAAAGACAGTATTTATGGTTGTTTGAGTAACGTTTGCCAAAGACTACAGTGCCAACCGTTATAGGAAATGATAACCTTTTTTTAAACTGTATATTTATTTGGAGTGCAACAGACAGAGTAGAGAAATCACAAAGTAAACTGACGACCTCCGACTGATAAACTGTACAACGATGTTTGTGTAAACAATACATTCTGGATGAAGTTTTAGCCAGATTTATTATCACTAAATGAGTTTTCTAACCTTTTTCAGGAGATTTTTTTGCAATTCTCTGTCTTATTATTATGGTTTGTCTTTATAGGTTTTTATTTATTATTCTTCTCCCCTGACATTTGATCCATCGTTGTTATTAGCTCCTTTGGTTGTTTTTAATTTTCTAATGGAGAACGAAGCTGTTAAAGTGAAGGCTCTGAATATATGTTATGATTCAGGTCTTCAAAGCTTAGATCTTAAATAATAATCTAAACTTTAAAAATAACAATTTAATTTAATTCACTGAAATGAACAAAATGCTGAGCTAAAGGTCTACTGTGTACATTTTAACACGACCCTCCAAGAAGCTCTGGCGACCCACCAAGTTGAGAACCAATGTCATAAAACATCAACATACGACTGCACCATCCCAATGCAATCACAATGTAATATATTAAAAATCACTGGGCAATGATGTTATGAGAAGTCTTGAAAACAATTTAATAAAAGTTTTTTTCCTTACAGAGCAAAATTTGGTGCACATCCGGCACTCTGGTGGAGGTGGGGGTTTCGGTGCAGCCAAGTTCCTCTTGGAGTTGACAGAAGAGAGGCAGGCGTCGCTGCACAACTCCTTCATAGTTCCTGAATCATCCACCGGAGCCAGGATGATGTTGTGAGGCCGCAAGATCACCCTGGAGGAAGGAGATCAAGATGAGATTCTCTCAGTGTAAAAAACAAACTCTCTGGGTCATTAAATCTCCCAATATACAACTAACTGTCTAAAAATATGCCACAAACACAACCAGCTTGATCATAATGCTTGTTTTGGGGAGAAGAAACAGCAACTAATGATAATTTTTCATTATCTGTTAATCTGGTGATTAATGTCTTGGCTTGTTGTCCGATCAGCAAAACAAAGCCTTAAGATTTTTAGTTTATCATCTGAGGAACTGGAACAAGAGCACATTTCTTTGGGTTTTTGGCTTTAAAAAGGTCTTAAACTTTTGGACTAATTCACATGATTCACTCATAACTCAATCTCTCTCTCTCTCTAATAAAAGTACACACACATAAATAAAAGATATATACAAGATGGAAAAGCATGAATAAAAATATCCTGCACTTACTGAAAGCAGTTGTAGCACTTTTTGGTGGCCAGTTTGACGTGAGGATGTTTTTCAGAGAGACAAGAGGCTGAACAAAAAACCTCTCGTGACTTCTTCAACTTGACCAGAGTCTCTCCCCTCTGCAGTTCCTTTCCACAGTGGCAACAGACAACGCACTCTTTTGCGAAGGTGAATGTCGGCGTTTCTGATTTAGCAGCTGTATTGTTTGCGACACTACCGTCCTCCTGCGGGATGATGGACAGTTACGGTGACTTTACATATCACAACAAACTGCTGTCTCGCTTTACTGTATGAAATATACTCACTGTATTCCCTGTTTGTTTCGATTGTTTGCCTCTTTTCCTCTTCAACAGAGCTGCGTTTTTCTTTTCTAAAGGATGAAAACAAAGACTGATCATTAGGTTCATTCAGAGGTGTAGTGGTGCCTGGAGAAGTAAGTGTACTCTTAAATGATTCCCCAATTTTTTTTAAGTGAGCTGTCCAGTAAAGGATAAACAACACCCCTTTGTTATAGTAACTCTCGATTAAAATCAG